AACAGCACCCGTAGAGGGGATGAAATAGTGACTTTTCCCAAGCAGGCAAAACACCCTCCTTCATTTCCTCCTGCCTACCCTCTTCCCACCTCCTTGGCTTTGTGCTGCTTCGTGCTAGGTGTGTTTCCCAAGGCCTCTGCATAGTTTAGGGTGGATCCTGGGCAGAAGGAGACCTGCTTGGGCTTGTCCTTGGGATGTTGCAGAGCTTGGTGTCAGCAGAGATGATGGCTCAATGCTCCACAAGGCCAGAGAGCTGCGTTTTATCTCCAGGGATCCAGGCTTTCAAATGGGTCCATGCAGCTGGGAGAAGGAAAGGAAGAACTGGGATGATTTCTCCCAAAATATGAAGAGACAAGGCCTCGCATTGTGTGACCTATAATTGGGGTGAGCTATTCATAGGGAAAAAATGCCTCTTCCTCCAGGCAGTGGGGAGTGAGGGCTAGGATAATGTTTGGGCCTTGGGCAGCAAACCACTGACTTGGTGGTTGGGTTTTATTTTCTAATGTAGCAACATTATTTTAATAATTCTTTTCTAGCTCACAGCAGGGCTGTGGCAGAGTCTGCCCTGATGCTGTCTTGGTTCCTCCAAGAAAACTGGGTGTAACCACTTGTGATCCCCATTCCTTGGGCACCTTGAGCTGCCAGGAGGCCAAATAACCACGTGCTGGAGCCCAAAAGGCAGTTATTCCCGAGGAACCTCACACGCTGTGGGTTGCAGCAGTGCCCTCCAGCCCTTTGCCCTGGTGTTGGGTGGAAAAGGGGAGGAGAATTTCTCCCTTGCTGCCCCACGAGTGTTGCTCAAGCTTCTCGTGGGTGCTCCTGGAGTGGGTGGCACCTTGGGGGGGAGGAGGGGGGGAAGAGGAGATCCCTGCCTTTGGGATCTTTTCTGGGTGAAGTTGGAAGCATTGATTAATACCTGGCTAACCAGGTGTGACTGAGCTTTTCCAACCCCATTCCTTCATATTTCAGCTGCTCAGGTTCCCCTGCCCAGCTGCTTTTTCAAGCAAGGTAGAGAAGCGAAAGAAAGAAAACAACAAACCCCACTGAGGTGGTGTGGAAGACTAGTAATTAAGCAGTGTTTTGTCAGCACTTTTGGTTGTGATCCCATCTTAATGTGGTCGTCTCATTTGAATGTAAATGTCAAATTCCAGCACTCCTGGAGGAGAGGGATTGGGTGACATCCCGATGGACTCCAGGTGAGTCAAGTGCAAGCTCAGGGGTTTCGGTTCAGGCTTTGTTCTGCTCTTCTGCAGCTTGGTTGGTAGGTCTGAAAGGGGAAAGTTGATAGTCTGAGCTTAAGACAACAACAACTTTAGTGCTGAGGAGCAGCACCACCAAACTGAAGTTGGCCTTGGTGTGAAACCAGTTGGATGTGGAATGTTCAAGGTTGTCATGAAAAGCCTCCTGGGGAGACGGGAGGGTTTCCCTTGCTCACTCCATGTTCAGCAGCAGGTGTCACATCAAAAAATGACACTTTTCCTGCCTGGAATTGGGCTGGGCTTGTGTCAGACTCAGCTGTGGGGCTGGGGGCAGTCAGAGCTTGGTGGTGTTGGTGTTTTGGAAGTGCAGAGTTAACAGAGTTGTCAGGGATGCAGGGTCATGTCAGTCCAGGTTTGTAAATAAGGTTTGTAAATAAATTGGAGAGCTCTGGTATTGTTGTGAACTCCCTCTTTCAAACTGACCATATTTTATGTTGACGGGGGCCCCTTCAGCTGCTACGAGTTGGATCTGAGTGTGACTTCTGAGCTTCTCAAACTTGGAGGTGAAATGTGGCATCTTTGCAGCCCTGCAGAGACGCACAGTCTGGGACAACAAGCATCTCGTGCCTCTTCGGCAGTTGGGGGGCGCGGAGAGAGAAAAGAGCTGCCTGGGAAATTTAGGTCAGTAGTTGGAGCTCCCCTTTGGTGGCCCATTCAGACCTTATCCTTGCCGGGGAGGGGACCCTGGAGGTGTTGAAGGGCAGGTTGGATGAGGCTTGTGCAGCCTGGTCTAGTGGGAGGTGTCCTTGCTCATGGCAGGGAGGTGGGAACCTGATGATCTTTAAGGTCCCTTCCAACCTTCACCGTTTGGTGATTCTGTGACGAGCTGGTGGTTGTGCCAGTGGTTTTTGGTCACTTGTCATCTGTAAGGCCTTTCCGAGGGGATTTCACCCAACCCCTCAACATGGTACTGTGCCCTGTGCCTGCTCCTGGGGGGTTGGCTTGTGGATTTACTTTTTTTGAACCTGTAAAGGTGGAAGGCTCCATCTCTTGTTACTAATCCTCTGCGCCACCCAGCTCTGCGTGGGCTTTCATACTGGGGCTGTTCACCCCCTGAAAAGGGACCAGGTTGTGATTTATTATGTTTTTTGAAGGGCACCCAGGGAGGGAGCCCAGTGGTCTCAGGCCATGGCCATTCCTGGGGGGCTCAGGGCAGCCCCTCGACGTTCTCAGCCACCGCAGACGAGGGACACAAAGGGCGTGTTGTGCGAGGAGAATGAGTTGCAAAGTTGTACAACTTTCCATGCCAGCCCTCGGCAGTCTCATGACCCTGCAGCCGTTCCCACACTGTCCTGCTGATTGTCCCAGTCCCCTGACTGGGGAGGGGGGGTGACCTTGCCTCCACAGCCTGACTTGCTCCCCCAGGCCCCCTCGATCCCAGAGCTGGGCACCGCAGCCGACAAAGCCTGGTTGTGTGGGTGATGAAGCTTTGCCTGCCCAGAGACTGTTGCCTGAAGCTTCCAAGTGCTTCACACAGCTCAAATTCTCTTTGTAGGGGGGAAGAAAATCTCTGTACAGCATCTAATCTACAGGGGAAGGAAGGGGGAGAAGGCTCTAACATCCTTTCCTGAGTGTAGGAGGTGTTGGGGGCTGGGTAGAGGTATCAGACCTGCTTTTCTGGGGAGCAACGTGCTGTGGTAGCTCAGGTTGGGGGGGTTTGGGAGGTTCTGCCCTGCTGGGAATGTAATGCTGAGGCAGTGGAGGCCTTGCCAGTTGTAGCCTGGCTGCTTGGGAGGCTTGGGAGTCCCTTGGAGACCTGGGGGGTGGGTCCCTTGGACCCCCTGTGGGCACAGAGAAGTGGTGACCTTGTCCAAGGTCACACCTGAAGCTGATGCCTGAGTTTGGAGAGGTGCTGGCTCTCCTAGTCCCCAAGCTGCTCTCAGCCATCCAATCTCCTTTTCCTCCCTGTCAAGAACCTCTTATTTAAAAGACCCTGGGAAATGTGGCTTTGAGCCCCAATCCTGGGGCTGCAGGAGCCCTGAGGAGCCAGCTCTGGAGTTGGTTCCTTTGCTCCAGGAGCCCTGGGAAAGCCACCTTGCTTTGGTCCTTGGTCTTCATGGCAGGATGTGCTGCCCTGTGCAGCTTACCTGGCTTTCCAGGTCCTTGCCCCCCACCCTGAGCCCCCATCACATTCCTGTGATCAGCTTGGTGGTGCTTTCTGTTCAATATTGAGGGGTGTGGGGGTTCAGACTCAGAGCTACCACAGGACCTGCCTTTTGTGTTTGCTCCCTATGAAACAAAAAGGTGCAGAAATTCCTTCTTTTTATTTTTTTTTCCCCTTGGATTCATGAAGTTTTTTTGAAAAATAAGCAAAGATGAAGAATACTGAGAAATCTGCAGGCCAGCCTGGAATATGGGGGGGGGTGTTGGGAAGCCAGAGTTATTTGGCTCTCTGTGCTCTTAATGTGGTGCTGGGAGTTGCTTCCTGTCTAATTACTTCTGGATGTCCTCCTGACTCATCCATCTCCCTCCCCAGCCCATGGGGCAGGCCCCTTCTTCCCGTGCCTCAGTTTCCCCACCTGCAAACTGGGGACTGAGATCCTTACACCTGTGCCCAAGGTGTGTTAGTAACCAAATGATGGGTGCGTGGATGTGCTGCAGGTTGTGTTGGGCCCTGAGGATCTTGGGGTTGGGGGGTGGCAAATATATGGATTTATGGGCAGAGAGGAGGGAAGTGTTATTCCCAATTTTGGGAATTTGGGGAGGTGGGCAGCGGGGTGAAGCTGGGCTGGTTTCACTGTTGCCCATGTCTGGCCCCTCTCCTGGAAAAGGGGGATCCCTTCCCAGCAGAGCTGCTGGTTCCCTCTGGAGAACCTCTGGAGGGGGGGATGTGTGTGAAGTCAAGTGGATCCATTTCTGCTGTGCAAGAGCATCAGGAGTGATTTATTTACCTTTTCCCAAACAAACCCTCAGCACTGGAGAAAAAAAATAACCCTGCTGCTTCTGTTGGAGCCTTTCTGAGGTTGAGGGGGGCTGGTGTTGGTGTGTGGTGGGACCACTCTCCAACCACCCCAGGGGCTCCTGCTCATGGGGTGGGTGCAGTTGGGTGCCTTGGGTTGAAGTGTTGAAGCCTGGCTCTTTGTGAAAGGCCCCCAGCAGCAGGCTGGGGGGGTCAGGGTTCCCCTGTTGCACTCACACCAGTGTCCTTGAGCACTGAGCTGGCTCCTGTGCCCTTTCCAGAGCCCCCCAAGCATGCCTGCAGACCCTGGCAGCCCAGGGATGAGCCGTGGGAATGGTTTTCCCAGCAATGACATGGTTGTATCAGGAGTCCAGCTGGGCAGAGTGAGGTTGAATGAGCAGGGGAGTTCTCCAGTAGAAGTGGTGGGATTGGGAAATACTCCCAGGAGTGGACTGGGCTCCACTGGTGAGGCTGAAGCCTCTGTAGCCCATGCCAGGCACGCCTGCCAGCATGGTCCAGATGCTGTGAACCCTGGGCTTGCCAGCCCTGGCCCAGGTCCGTGCTAATTCAGCTGGGAGAGCACCTGGGCTGTGTTTCTCCTCCTTTCCCAGAGTGCAGGTAAGAATGGGTCCATCCTCCCCTGCTGTGTGTGTCTCAGGTGCCGGGCAGGACTGGAGAGGTGCTGAGGGCACCCGAACCCGCAGCTGGTGCTCTCTGCAGGGCAGGCTGGCCTTGGCCCAGGGGTTCCTGCTCTGCCCGGGCAGTTTCCCTGCCAGATGTGATGCCTCCAGGTGGTGGGAGCCCTCCTGACTCATTGTCCTTTCCTCCTCTCCCAGCCTTTTGCATCGAAGATGGCGGGTGGCGTGGACGGCCCCATAGGGATCCCGTTCCCCGATCACAGCAGCGACATCCTCAGCAGCCTGAACGAGCAGCGCAACAACGGGCTGCTGTGCGACGTGGTCATCTTGGTGGAAGGCCAGGAGTTCCCCACCCACCGCTCCGTCCTGGCGGCCTGCAGCCAGTACTTCAAGAAGCTCTTCACCTCAGGGTTAGTGGTGGACCAGCAGAACGTGTATGAGATAGACTTTGTGAGCGCGGACGCCCTGTCGGCCCTGCTGGAGTTCGCCTACACCGCGACCCTCACCGTCAGCACTTCCAACGTCAACGACATCCTGAACGCAGCCACCCTGCTGGAGATCCCGGCCGTCAGGGATGTTTGCACGGATCTCCTGGACAGGAAGATTCTGGCCAAAAATGACCAGATGGATACAGTAGATCAAATTGATCAGAGGAACCATCTCAGAGCAAAAGAGTACCTGGAGTTCTTCCAGAGCAACCCCGTCAACGGCCACCAAGGCAGCTTTCCGTGGACCAACCCAGAGTTGAGAGACCTTCAGAAACTGAACTTCCAATGCAAAGAGGAGGAGGAGGAGCTGGACTGCAATGGCATGGACTTCTACTCGCAAGCCTCCCTAAACGAAAGACCAAAGGTGAATGACTGTGACCCTGACAGCAACCCAGCCATGTGGCTGGACAGAGAGGAGGAGGAGGCAGCAGCTCCTGGCTCCTTGTTTTCACCTTCTCAGAACGGACATTACAGCAGCCGTGGCCTGGCCACGCCGGGAGAAGAGGAGGGGACCCCAGGGGGATCTCTGGACCAGCAAGAAGCTGGTGACTCCCCCAGCTTCATTCCTCCTGGAGCAGAGATGGAGGATGATGTGAAGGTGGAGGATGGCTTGGCTGCCAGCGCCCTGCTGCAGCAGATGATGAATTCCGTGGGGAGACAGCAGCTCGGGGAGGACGACCGCAAGGACGACGACGGGGTCATGGATTATTACTTGAAATATTTTGGCAGTTCGAGCGAGGGCGACGTCTACCCGTCCTGGTCCCAGAAGGTGGAGAAGAAGATCAGGGCAAAAGCATTCCAAAAGTGCCCCATCTGTGAGAAGGTGATCCAGGGGGCTGGCAAGCTGCCGCGCCACATCCGCACCCACACCGGGGAGAAGCCCTACGAGTGCAACATCTGCAAAGTCCGGTTCACCAGGTGAGGAGCGAGCGGGGCTGTCACACCAGAGCAGCTCTGGGCCTTCCAGGGGACCATCCCTGGGCTGGGCTTGGGCAGTTTTATTTCAGCTGCTCGACTGATTCCCATCTAAACGGGCAGGTTGGTTATGAAGGGCAGAGTCTTCCAGAGAGAAGAGCAATTCGGGTGTCTTGTGAGATATCTTGAGGGGCGTGACTTGGTGGCCAGTGCTGTCCTGAATTGCTGAGCTCAGCTGGAAACCTGGCCAGGTGTGGCCTTCTGGGGAGGCCCAATAATGTGGTTGATAGAACGGAGCTGCAGCCCTTGGTGTTTTCCTCATGGCCAAGGCATTTGGGGTTGAGGCAAATCAAGAGTCATTTAGAAATGGCTCCGTGGGGCGAGCGGGGAGCTCCAGTGGTTGGGCTGGGAGGAGGCTGGAGCCCACACTGCTCCTGTCCACTCTTGGTGAACCCTAACGGGCTGAGCCGTGGCCACCTCAGCCACCACACAGCCCCAGCCCCTGCCCTGGTTCAGCCCCCGGCGCTGTTTCTGATCAGGGTTCCTCTCCTCCTTCCCTCAGCCACGGGAAGCGCTGAAGAAAGGGGATATTGTTCCTTTGCTCCAGTTCACTCCAGTCCACGCGTCGTGGCGCCGCCCCCGCGCTGGTCTCTCGCTGGGGTGGGGGTCTCACCCCTGTTCCCCACCCCCTCAGCCCTGCTGAGGGGCTCTGTGGGCAGAGAGGACTCAGCCTGCCTGTGGGAATCATAGAATCATGGAAGGGTTTGGGTTGGAAGGGACCTTAAAGACCATCTAGTTCCAACCACCTCCTGGATCCCCATGTGCAGAAAGGCTGGGCTGTGGGGGGCCCCAGTGCTCCCAAAGGCTGAGCAAGATTCCCCAGTTACACCACCCTTCCCTGATACTGGTATTTGCTACCTGGACACAGGCTCATTGCCAGCAGTGATGTGATGGTTGAAAAGTCTAAAGGAAGACCTGTAATGCAAGAAATTCTAAAGCAGAATCACTTTTGCTGGAGAGAAGAGAAATTACAGCATTATTCCCCTTTCTGCACTGCTCACCTTCACCCTGACACCACTAACACACTGGGATCTAAGATGTCAAGATACTTCATCTGATGTTAATATGTTCAGAGCTCCCAGGGCATCTTTACCTTGAACTTGGGGGAGATGCCACCACATAGAGCCAAGCAGCAGGACCCTGTGACAAATATGAAGCACCCACGTCCTGCTCCTGTGCCCCCCAAAATCCCTTCTGCTGCAGAAAACTGCTCTGAGCTGCTCTGCTCTGCAAGATGATTTCAAGAATCATTTCAATTCCAGACTGACAACAACTGAGCTCATCCCACCCTTAATATCAAGCCAGTTTTCTCCCAGGGTCAGCACTGATGTGAAAAGACACTTCACAGACATCCAAGAAGGAGGGTTAGGAAAGGGGATTTTTAAAACTGAACCAAAAGCTCCAGGTTCTGGATGGCTGAAGCAGCTGGTCTTTGGGATTCAGCACAAGCATGGGTGGCTTATCTGCACCTTCTTCTTCTCACATCTCTCAGGAAAGGCTTCAAATTCCTGGCTGTTCATTTTCCAGCCCTGAAATGGCCATCTGGTGTCTGCAGAGTCATACAGTCATGGAATCCTAGAATGGTTTGGGTTAGAAGGGACCTTAAAGACCACCCAGTTCCAACCCCCCTGCATGGGCAGGGACACCTCCCACGAGCCCAGGTTGCTCCAAGCCCCATCCAACCTGCCCTTCAACACTGCCAGGGATGGGGCAGCCACAGCTTCCCTGGAAATCCCACAGATCTCCCAAGCCTTGCCAGTCCTGCTTCGCTTCCCTGCAGCTTCATCCCTGGGAGGGCCCAGGGAGGCTGGGGGGGGTGGGGATCCATGGGGCTGGTCCTCACCTCCAGCAGCCCATGGAGCAGGTGTCTCCTGTGGGATGGAGCTGGAGGCCACGTCCTGCCCCCGGGTGGCCCCCTCCCTGCCATGGGGCCGCACCCAGCCCCGCTGCTGAGGAATGCAGATAATGGCGGGGGCAGGATGCCAGCCCTGCTCCAGCTCCTGCCATGCCTGGGAGCCCCAGGGAGTGGGGAGGTCCTGGGGGGGGGTCTCCAGCAGCCTTCTGGATGAGGGGAGCCGTGGGGTTATCTGGGGGGAGCAGCAGGTCAGTGGGGGCGATGCCACCTCCTTGCTTTTCCACGTCACCCTCTTGCTGTGGGTGTTGGATGTGGGGGCTCCTGGGAGGGCCTGGCACTGCAGAGGACAGAGTGGAAACTATTCCAGCTGCTCTAAAAAAGGCTGGTACATAATACACTGTTTTCCACCCAAAATATATCCCCCTGCTTCTTTCTGCAGTTGGCAGGGGACAGGGAACTGAGCTGGGCCTCCTTGTGTCCCATCCTGTGTCTCACCCCCCAGCTCAGCTGGACTTGGGTGTCCCTGGAAAATCTCCCTTGGAGCTGCTGCCCAGAGTGGCAGTGGGTTCCCAGCTCCTTCTGCCCAGGGCTGCTTCCTGGGGCTGGACCAGCCTTGTCCCCTGGGATGGCAGGATGGAAACACTGGGCACCGGTGACCCTGGTCCCATCTGCTCAGCCCTGCTGTTGGTGGCCAAGTCCATGAGGTGCTTTTTGCTGCTTCTCCCCCAGGCTGTGCCCTAAAGCCTGATCTCAGAGCCCCCAACCTAAAAACAGGTGCCAGGCTGACCCACCACTCCCCCATCCTTCTTTTCTCCCTCATTTTGTCATTTTATTTTGCCTTCCTTCCCTCTTCTCTCCTTCCCCATCCTCAGCCCAGACACTTAGAGCACATTTCATCCTAACAAATCTGGTGGCCATTAAACCTGCTGCAGATCCCAGCAGGCTCAAGGGGCCTGGCCCATGGCCTGGGGGAGCTGCCCCCACTCTTGAAGGACCTTTTGGGCTGAAGTCCCAAACCTAGAGTGTTTTTACCCAGGGTGTTTCCCTGTCACTCCCCCCCGCCCCTTGCTGGGTGGGGAGCAGAGCCTGGTGGTTAACACCGAGTTTTTTTGCTTCCTGGTTCCTCTGCCTTCTCAGGGGGGGAGGAGCAACAACGTTGCTCTGAAAATCATCTGAAGGAAAGGCCAGTGGGATTTTTAGAAAAACCTACCCCTATTTACAGATTTTTACACTTTATCTACACTATTAAAACATTTTAAAAATGAAAGCTGTTGCTGTGGACCCTGCTGTGTTCAGCAAACCACCCAACACCCCTCCCAACAGTTCCAAGCTCCTCTAGGAGCTGCATTAAATTGAGGTGGACACGTCCTTGGTGGTTGGAACTGGTAAGATTTGGGGCTTTTTGGGTCCTGGTGCTGCCAGAACGAGTGTCCTGAGGGGTGGAGGTTGCTGCTCTGGGTTGGGGGCTGCCTGTTCCCTGCAGGAGAGGTGAGACCCTTCCCCTGGATCTTGGGATGGGGCTGGTGAGGTGGACATGTCCTTGGTGTTTGGGACTTGTAAGATTTGGGGCTTTTGGGGCCCTGGTACTGCCAGAATGTGTGTCCTGAGGGGTGGAGGTGGCTGCTGGGGGCTGCCTGTTCCCTGCAGGAGAGGTGAGACCCTTCCCCTGGATTTTGGGATGGGGCTGGGTGTGTTTTTGGGCAGGATGGTGCTGTGAGCAGGATGGTGTTCGGCACAGCCCCACCACATACTTCATGCCTGGTTTTTTCCTCCAGGAAGCAGCAGAGGCCACAGCTCACGTGGCCACCTTGGCCCTGGGCCTGGATCCTGCCCCAATCCTGGGAGCAGCAGCAGCTCAGCCCTGGGGGATGCTGAGCCCAGAACCAGTGCTCAGCCCAGTACCAACCAGTGCTCAGGCCCTGTACCAGTGCTCAGGGAACCATAACAGTGCTCAGCCCCATACTGGGTGATGCTCAGGCCCACACTGGGAGATGCTCAGCCCCATAGCAGGTGGTGCTCAGCTCCACACCAGGTCGTGTTCAGCCCCCTACTGGGCAGTGCTCAGCCCTGTACTGGGAGATGCTCAGGCCTGTACTGGGAGATGCTCAGGCCCATACTGGGAGATGTTCAGTCCCACACTAGGTGGTGCTCAGCTCCATACTGGGTGGTGCTCTGCCCAATACCAGGTGATGCTTGGTTCCATACTGGGTAATGCTCATCCCAGTACCAAAGCTTAGCCCCATAGTGGGCAGTGCTCAGCCCCACACTAGGTGATGCTCAGCCCAGTACCAGTGTTCATCCCAGTACCAATGCTTGTCCCAGTACCAAAGCTTAGCCCCATACTGGGTGATGCTCAGCCCCATACCAGGTAGTGCTCATCCCAGTACGGAAGCTCAGTCCAGCACCAAAAAACTCATGCCAGCACCAAAACTCACCCCAGTACCAAAACTCAGCCCCATACTGGCTGATGCTCAGTCCCAGCACCAAAACGCACCCACCCCCCAAATCCCACCCAGCACCAAAACTCACCCCAGCACCAAAGATCACCCCCAAATTGTACCCAGCACCAAAGCTCAGCTCAGCACCAAATCCCACCCAGCACCAAAACTCACCCCAGTATCAGTGCTCAGCCTCATACTGGCTGTTGCCCACCCAGCACCAAAGCTCACCCCCACACTGGCTGATGCTCACCCATCCCCAAATCCCACCTCATCCCCAAATCCCACCCATCCCCGAGTCCCACTCAGCACCAAAATTTACCTAGCACCAAATCCCACCCAGCACCAAAGCTCACCCCCACACTGGCTGATGCTCACCCATCCCCAAATCCCACCTCGTTCCCAAATCCCACCCATCCCCAAAGCCCACCCAGCACCAAAATTTACCTAGCACCAAATCCCACCCATCCCCAAATCCCACCCAGCACCAAAGTTCACCTCAGTACCAGTGCTAAGCCCCATACTGGCTGTTGCCCACCCAGCCCCAAAGCCCACCCAGCACCAAAGCTCAACCCAGGACCAGTGCTCAGCCCCATACTGGCTGATACCCACCCAGCACCAAAACTCACCCAGCACCAAATCCCACCCATCCCCAAATCCCACTCAGCACCAAATCCCACCCAGCACCAAAACTGACCCATCCCCAAATCCCACCCAGCACCAAAACTTACCCAGCACCAAATCCCACTCAGCACCAAAGCCCATCCACCCCCAAATCCCATCCAGCACCAAAACTGACCCATCCCCAAATCCCACACAGCACCAAATCCCACCCATCCCCAAAACTGACCCATCCCCAAATCCCACCCAGCACCAAAACTTACCCAGCACCAAATCCCACTCAGCACCAAAGCCCATCCACCCCCAAATCCCATCCAGCACCAAAACTGACCCATCCCCAAATCCCACACAGCACCAAATCCCACCCATCCCCAAAACTGACCCATCCCCAAATCCCACCCAGCACCAAAACTTACCCAGCACCAAATCCCACTCCCCCGCTCTCCCCGAAACCTCCCCTTCCCCCTTCCCCTCTTCCTCCCTTATCCCCCCCACCCCGGGGACACCTCTCTGACCCTCTCCCCCCCCTCAGACAGGACAAGCTGAAGGTGCACATGAGGAAGCACACGGGTGAGAAGCCCTACCTGTGCCAGCAGTGCGGCGCCGCCTTCGCCCACAACTACGACCTGAAGAACCACATGCGCGTCCACACCGGCCTCAGGCCCTACCAGTGTGACAGCTGCTTCAAGACTTTCGTCCGCTCCGACCACTTGCACAGGCACCTTAAAAAAGATGGATGCAACGGGATCCCATCCCGGAGAGGGCGGAAACCTCGGGTGAGAGATGCTGGAGGAGTTTTACCACCCACCCCGACGGGAAACGCGGAGGATGGAAGTTACCAGGCCGGTGGGGAGAGTCAAGAATCAGAGGACACCCTGCAGGAGCAGCAGCACTTTGAGGAGAATTCCAATAACCAAGAGGCAGGATTGAATGTAGCAGGAGGGTCTGTGGAGGGTAACACACCAGGACTCTCCTAAAAACCAAAAAAAACACACACAAAACAACCAAGTGTCACAAAATCTAGTTAGTACTTTTCCTCCGATTTTTTTTTTTCTCTTTCCAGACGTTTCTCTTCCCTTTTTTTAAAGGAAAAACCCCACAAACCACAAACAAAATTAATCTATATATATATATATTATGTTTCCAATCTTCCCATCCTAAACAGGGCGCCCCCCCACCCCCTCATCTTCCCTCCCTCC